GAAATAATCGCGTTTGAGATTAAATAAAATGTAAAAGATTTTTTAGGTGGTAATTTGGATCAATGTATCATCCACTATTTGTTTTTTGCATGAAAGTAAGTATCGTCTTGTCGCTCCTCACCGATCATTCTCTCTACGAAATGATCTGTGCTCCTCACCATTTTTATTCTAAAATAATCCTTTTTCTGACTTCACTGTTGTCCGTAGCTGATCCCAACATCACATTAAATCTATTTTACTTCATTATGGCTCGCAAAGTTTTATTTGTGCGATGTATGTGTAATTCCTTATACTTAGCTATATAAAGGTGGAGTGTCTATTTAATATAGGCGTTATACATCTGTTATGAAATTTTGCTACGCCTAATTATTGTCTAAAACCTTTCCAGCTTGCCTTCCCTGCCAAATTTAATTATTTTATCAACTTGTCAGCTCAGTACTGATATAGGAAAACTAATCGAAATCCAATTGCTCTTACTATATCCAGCCTACGCAGCTATATTTAAGCTCTTGTTTATTAATATTAGTATAGTCCTTTCTTTTTATTCTTGTAGAGACTTTTGTTGATATAACCCTATTTTTTAATTAAACACGAGGTTTATTCTTTTACCTATTCTTACTTTAGGCACTGAAGTTGCCGGTATGGTTTCCCTAAAGCATATTTATGAAATTGCAAAGCTAAAACAATCAGATCCTTCGCTCCAATCTTTATCCCTAGAGTCTATTTGCAAATCCATTATTGGAACTGCTCATCTCATGGGTATACAGGTGCTTTCTAAGGAGCAAATAGATTCTAAAGCTGTGGATTACACTCCGGAAGGTTATGCACAATTCCTCGACGAGCGCAATGAACAGATTTTGCAACATCGAAAGGCTTTAGAAGAAAAGAAACAAGCCAAAATGCTGAGAATATCTTGATAATGCTTTTTCGTAAGTATATTTACCTGAACTATCTTGTAACCACACGTTTGTGTATATAGCGCTTTTCTTTCACAATTGCTTATTTAAAGCGATTACTCGTGTTAGCGTTACTTTATTTTCAAATATAAACGTTTATTTAATAGATTACCCTGAGTTCCAACTTCTTATCTTAGTAATGTTTTCCCTTGGCAAGATCAGAAAGATGTGTGCGTGTCGATAATTAAGAGTAGCATAAGTGATTTGAAAAATTATGCTGGTCTTTATCTTAGTATTTTGGAGTGTCCAGTCCATTCTTAAAAATAATGGTCTTCATGGGCCGCTTCCTCGACCCAATCAGGATATTTGGTTCACAATGAAACAAAATGGATTCAACATGCCATTGATTGTTTAACCAAGCTCCTATACATATCTGATACTACACTGGAAATTCGGCTAATCACTATAGCGTAAAGGTTTACAAATGGCGTGTGTATAGGCTTCCCTGATAATACGAATAAATTGCAATAATAAATTCAGACCTTTTATACTAAAACGTAGGTTAAATTAAAGACGCTTGAATGTTTCACCAACGAATTCTCCTATAGAGAGCCGCAAGCGCATTCCATTCGTGGCCAAGTCACTTATCCGGATCTCAGGAGTAAATCTGAAGTAAGTTAATGGCAGAATCGCTATCCTTATTTATTTAAACAAGAATTGGTGTTGCAATCTAACGTGTATGAATTTGTGCATTGAAGCATCCCCTTAAAATGCATCATCAACTTGCTTAGAAGCATAGTTAGAGCCATGAAGATAGATTTCTACACTACGCTTTTTTAATTGCAAAGCTGGTTGGCAGCATAATCTGAAAACCTGTGTCAAATGGCTATACGGACATCTCTTTACGTAGCGGGGATGGCAGATGAGAATTTCTCCGCATCGCACCGTATATACTAGGGCACGTTTCCTCGTGAATGGAAAGTATCGTAACCCTACACTTATTTACCCTAATCGGCTAATGACTATAACGAGCCATCCTATTGTAATAGAGAAAAAAAAGTGATTTGAAGTTTACCTGTCGAGTCTGAGGCCAAGAGCCTTGTCCGCTCTGCAGATGCCGGGGGATGTTTTTAGTGCAAGGTATGGACTATCATAAGCTTCATAACCTGTGGCGCCTGAGCCTGTATAGGAATTCCTTATCTGATTTAGGGAATACTTTGGAACAGGACGAGACAAATCGGATTCGGGAATTCTTGAAATTTCAGGATTTGTTGCAGCGAATGGTGAAAGGTTAATGAAAACTGGTATGTGAATATAGGAACATCAGCCCGATCCATCACCTTTCCATACTCGGCCAACATATCTGCCAACCCATTATATATGCGGAACGGATGTTAAGTGAAAAATGGTGTTTTGTTAGTCTATCATTATGCTGGATAGATATATAGAAAAATACGTCTGTCCTATATTTTAAATAAGGGCCTAGTCGCTTTAGATCGTTTCATATGATCTAAGGATTAATAGCCAAAGCCAAACAGCCCATACACAAATGCGCACTAAATTGCCAGGACGGCTATTAGATATTACACCATTACTTCAGTATACGACACCAGGTTGATCTCGACAGCTTCCCGCACGTTTCACGTGCGGATTTTCATGCCTGGAAATTCAAGTGTAAAACGGCTGAACGAAACTGATTACTCCTCCAGAAAGTAAAAGCTATACATGTACCGATTCCAAAGGGATATTAATACGGCCGAGGATACCTGTCAGAATTCGTAAGCCGGCCCCAACATACGGACCCGACAGGACTTCGCTGGTAAGATGTAAAGCCATGATGGCGCACTCGCATAGAGAAGCGCGAGGAATTATTCGGAAGGCATGCTACAGACGATAAAATAATTATACGAATCTAGCAATATTGTAGGCGGCAAATGATTACGCACTCGTTAAATTAAGTAATTTGCAAGCGAAATCTCGAACTAATTGGCAAATGCGTTTTAATAGTGCCGCATCCAGGTTAGAGCGTGCGAAAGCCAGACGAAAAGGAGGGAATCTTTTGTCCACTCATAAAATCGAGTGGCAAGCATCATGTCCAACCGATAATGAAGGCATACAACTAAAAAAAGAAATTAACTTTTATCTTGAGTAGGTTTGGGATCTACAGAATGGGCTTAGTGGATGGTCGGCACTTAGCCATACGAGATATGAAGGCAGAACGCCGTGTTGATTAGGCAGCCAAGCAAAGTGCTCGTGAATATTGGTATGAATATAATAAAGTCCATCGACAGAAGTAATGAGCCGAGTCAGTAAGTCAAAGTAAAACAGTAACCATGATGGCAAGGAATGAGACCACTTTCGCTTCCATCAGTTAATCAATGAGGCATGTGGATAAAGCTTGGAATAATCACCAACTATCAAGCAGGTAAGCAGCGAAATCGAAGTAACGTACCCAGAGACCGAATCAGTTCAAGAAATCGGAGGATAATTTTTTATATCAAATGAAAGAGAAGACCTAAGTAAAATATCTGGTGATATGATGCCGCCTTCATTGTTAATTATAAATTGAAAATAAGATAAAACTCTTAAGCAAGCATATTCGAGATAGCTTATCGTCTAGCGGTTGGCCGTTTGAGGAATTTATATCTAATAAAAAAATTCTGGCCAAAGCCAATTTGACTGAAGTAAGCTGCGTACAAAAGGTACAAGTATAATTAGTTAAAAATGAAGACGAGAAAAGCAAACAAGGGCAAATATAAGCATGGATAACAAACTTATTGTAGTGAGTGTCAAATAAAGTAGCTTAGTGTGCATTAGGATATATGTATGCATTGAGAGTACAGAGGTCAAGGAAATGGGCTCAAGTTTAAATTTTTACAGGAAGATAAATAAACGGATGCCAAGTGATTGCTAGAAGAGTTTGTAAGGACAGCCAATATAAGAAAACGAACAGAAAACCTGCTCATGTCTGAAGAGGCTTGGCCCAAGGGATAAAAAGAACATTGAAATCGCTGAGAATAGTGATAAACACCGATTGTGGGAAGATATACATTCAAGGAGAACCCTTGCATATTCTATAAGCGCACATAGGTACACACATGCATATCACATACTTATATGCATAATTAAAGAGCAGACTCCATGATACTTGTCACATATTTATCGTTGTACATACATATGCAGAATTATTCATGCGCGACGATTAAGATGACAGTATGATGGTTGAAATCTAGTCATCAGATAAGAAACAAACAAGAACGAGGAAGAAAAATGGAATATAGAGATGTAATAGTAGATAATAAAAGATAATTTAAGTCTAGCGTCATGCTTTGATGCTATGATAAAACAGTGAAACATCTAAAAAGACCTTAGATAAGATAAATTTTAAAATGAGGGCTAGACAAAGAAGGCAAATGTTCGATTAGGCATAATATTAAAAGAAGAAAATAAATGGTGGCAAGGATAACGTATTTCAGGAACCATGAAGTTTGAATGAAAAAAACGAGGTAAACGACCATAGGGTAAAAAGCAGTTACAAGCATATTCGCACGGATAGACATGTGCGAGCACAGGCGAAATGGGGGTGGAAATGAAAGAAACAAGCACAAATGTGTACCAAGTTGGCTAAGGTTTGATTGAGCACCGATGGATGCATGCAATCATACATAAATAGTTAGATATATGTACAAGCGGATTTCTAAATGTTGATCAGAGTGGAACTTTATGTTACGAAAGTGAATTCGAGCATAGCATCGACAAATGAGAAAAATGGAGAGCAGAGACGGAACTAAGTAAACATTTTTTTCTTAATATCTGAATGAGTCTGTCCAGACACTTTCAGCTTCGATTCTTCAGCGACTGCGGCACCGATTATGGAGGAGTGTCCCGTCTGTGGGGAGGAGGGACAGAGACGACCAGTCTTTGTTGACGATGCGTGTTCGGCGGGTATCCCAGAGTCGATCAAGGCAGCCGAGGAAATCGAGATAGCGGCCCTTTTGAGCTCAGCTCGGGCCCGGACAGATGAAAGCTCGGACACAGTAGTTACCGGCAAAGCACCGTTCTCAGTGGCTGCAGAACTCGTCTGCAATAGTGGAACTGGAGTATTAGAATTGCAAGATGGACGAAGCTCTAACCAAGGGCGCCGACACAAGTGGCGCAACTCCAAGGCTGTTAAAAACTTCCGGCGCTTTCGTCTGATAAATCAAGGACGTAAAAATTTCGGTGAGAAAGATGACAAATGATTGAAAATAGTCTGTCTAGCATAAAACGGAGGTAAGTAACAATCAAACAGGAAGAGGAAACTATTAATCCACAATATGGGCGGAAATGATCAATTTTTACAAACTAGAATTTTGATCTAAGGAAGTCAGCTTTTAACAAGCACTTAGAAAATTTGAACGATAAGAGGAAATAGAAACTCTGAAAGCGCAAAATAATAAATGCGATAAATTTAAGTGAATACAGGATCCATCTTCGGAAAACGGATATATACATTTTAAGACAACCGCGGCCATCATATATGGGAGTAAATTTGTTATATTGATTTCATTTGATTCTTGGCCTTCAGAAGAAAAATACAAGTCATAAAGTGATTTTGATGCCATAATTGCTATAATGAACAAAATTACACCTTAAATAATGAATCACAATCAAGTAAAATTTCACATAAATCGTTACTAGGCCCAATACTTGTTAAATCTACTAATAACTAAAAAGGAACAAATATTCAGTGATAATATAGAGCTTGATATCATAATTATCACTCAGCAAATCAAGGCAGGCAAACAAGAATACCAGGATTGGGAAGCAGAGTGCACAATAGCTCAATACCAAAGGAAACATGATCCAGAAAGAATCAATAACGGCGAAATATAGCCAAGGCCCATATTAGGCTAAGACAAATGCAAACAAGAAGTGTTTCCCATCAGGCATAGCCAAAAGAAGAATTTTCAAATGTAAAGCAAAAAACTTTCGAAACTACATATAATTACCCCCAAAAGATTTCTTCATTTATCGAAAAAAATGATGACTGATTCTGACTAGCATGTTTTGTGATGATCGTAGCGAAAAAAGGATGATGATCGCCATGGATGAAAAAACCCTTACGGTTAGCGTAGACATCAAACTGCTAGTTATAATAACGAACAATGCTCTTATTCACAACCCTACACAGACAAACACCTCGAAATTAGCTGATTTCTTATAGAGATAGTCAGCACAAATTAAT